ATATATGATGAGATGTATTTTCAATAGCTTCAAATGCATGTGAAAGCTTTACAATGAATGAAGAAAACTGAAGAAGAAGTTATTCGTTTTAATTGGGGTATTGGGGAAGAGCTCTGGTAGCATAGTGCCTAAGGCACTTGACTGCTAACCAGAAGGCTGACAGTTCAAACCCACCAGCCATTCCTCAGAAGGAAGGTTGGGCAATCTACTTCCATAGCAACACTGCCTCGGAAACCCAAGGAGGGGTCACTATGAGTTAGGTCCAACTTGATGGCATATAACAACAATAACAACATTGGTGAAAAATCTTGAATATACCATGGACTGCCAGAAGAAAGAACAAACCTGTCTCGGAAGAAGTATGGCTAGGATGCTTCTTAGAAGCGAAAATGGCTAGATTTCTCTCTTGTACTTTGGTCATGTTATCAGGAGGGACCAGTCCCTGGGAAAGGATATCATGCTTGGTAAAGTAGAGGATCAATGAAAAAGGGGATGTCCCTCAATGAGATTGATTGTCACATTGGCTGTCACAATGGGCTCAACCATAGCAAGGACTGTGAGAGTGGCAAAGGACCATGCAGTGTTTTGTCTGTTGTACATAGGATCTCTATGAGTCAGAAATTACTCGATGGCACATAATGACAGCAACAAGAACATGATGAAAGGGTAAAAGAAATAACTGAAAAATAAAGATAGAGAAATTAAGATAAAATAATTGAGCCAGATAGAATGTATATACTTCTTTGTTATCTGGAGGAGTTCTGGTGGCACATTGTTTAATGTGTTTGGCTGCTAAACAAAAGGTTGGCGGTTAGAACCTACCAGCTGTTCTGTAGGAGAATGATGAGGCAGTCTTCTTCCATAAAGATTTAAAACCTTGACAACCCTATGCGGCAGTTCTACTGTCTTGTAGGGTCACCAGGACTTGGAATCAAATCAATGACAGTGGGTTTGTTATCTGGTTTGCCTTAAAGAATGCAGCCTCCGTGGAGGCTGGACTCTTGTTCACTTTTGTTATCTTCAGCACATCTGAGTGGTTAGTAAGGATCTGTTGAATGAAAGTGTAAAATTAACACCAGAATTGCATAATCTTTCACTCCTTGTCAGCTGTTACATTTGGTGTGAATATTTGTGAGAAAATAATAAATTACAATTTTAAAAAACTCAAATAATTTATGAATTAAATTTTTATTAAGCGTGTGGCCAGCACTGGGCTATGTACAGGGCTACAGAGAAAAATCTGACATTGTATCTTATAGTTTTGTGAGGATATTGTTGTTGCTATGTGCTATTGAGTCGATTCTACTCATTCTACTCATAGGGCAGAGTAGAGCTGCCACATAGTGTTTCCGAGGCTATACTCTTTATAGAAGCATACAGTCAGATCTTTCTCCTACGGAGTGGTTGTTGGGACCATTCAGTTAGCAGCTGAAGAGTTTAATTACTGCACCACCAGGGCTCCTCGTAAGGATATTAATATAGTCTCTTTAGTGCAAGAAATGGTATTGTTGCTATGTTATAAACACATATTGGTCACAGTTGAGGTAAATAACCGAGTACTCAGTTTTACTTGGAAGATAGGCAGTGGGAGGGACACTGTGATACTGGCTGCGGCAATTTAAGAAGCAAGCAAACAAACAAAGCACAGACGTGAAGATTCTTGAGTATTCTCCACATGGACTAGGAGAGGCAGGAAGATTACTTACTAAAAGGAAAAGGCAATTGCAAGGAGTTCATCAAAATACCATTGCTACTATATAATGAATGTCTGTATTTGGCAAAATACCATCCTAAGAGCTTTACACACACTATTTATTAATTTTTCACAAAAACCCACAAGACGTTGGCCCCATTTTACACATGAAGAAAGTGAGACTCATGTTAATTAGCTTGTCTTAGATCTGGCAATATATAGCAGAGTCTGAATTTGAAGTGTGGTCTATTTGTCTCAAAGCAAACATTCTTAACGAACGCTGCCAAAACCAGTTTTGTTTTGAGATATGATTAACATATACGACCATTCCTTAAGCTATGAAAGAGATCAATTCCTAACTGTGTCTTTAAGACAGATTTGTAAGTAAGTCAGAGCAGATGCATATGGTGCTTATTTAGCCTTACTTTACTACAAGGAAAAGGAGCACTGGTGGTGGTGGAGGTAAGGCATTTATTTGGCTGCTAACCAGAAGGTCAGGCGATCAAACCCACCAGCTTCTCTGAGGTAAGAAGATGAGGCCATTTACTTCCACAAAGATTTACAACCTTAGAAACCCAATGGGGTTCTGTGATTCAGAATCAACTAGATGGCAGTGGGTTAGTACAAGAAAAGGCCCTGTTCTGGTTACCTAGTGCCGCTCTGACAGAACTATACTACAAATGGGATGGCCTTGACAAACAGGAGTTTATTCTTACAATTTGGAGGCTTTAAGTCCAAGTTCAAAGTGTCAGGCTCTAGGGGCTGGGTGAAAGCCCCTCAACCTTGGGGTCAAGCTCTGCCTCCTGCTCCTGGTTTCTTCACTCAGACAGATGCTGGCTGCTGAGGCTGAGAAGCCCCAAGGTTGACAAGTAAAAAGGCACAGTCCTGATGTTACCAAACCACATGGCGGGTCATTAACTTAAGTCCATTATAAGTCCCTAGGTTGGCAGAGCAGAGCAGGCTGCTGAGTAATGACATGGCTAC